GGCGCCTTTAATATCGAGAAATATAGTAGTTGTAACTTAATACTTTTGCTTTTGTAGCTGTATATTATTATAGAAGAGTAGGGCAGCGTTAATAGCAGATTTCTTCAGTCTTCCACCCATCTGTGAGGGGTGGAGTAGATCTGTAGTTTCTGCTAGTGTCCCTAGTCTTCTAGCTACTAGCCTTTCTAGTACTTTGCCTAGGCAGCTTAGGAGTGAGATTACTCTATAGGCCTTTGGAACTAAGTAGTCTAGTTTATTTGGCTTTTTTAAGATAACTCCTTTTGCTTTTCTCCAGCACTTTAGGTGGTAGCCTAGATTAAAGAAGATAGAGTATATCTTAAATAGCGTTTCTAAGTGCGTTTAGTAGACCTTTTAGATAATATCTTGACTAATAGGATCAGGCCTAGGTGAGGTAGCCTTTACTTTATTGTAGGCAAAGTAGAGCTTGTTCCTTGTAAGAGCGGGCTAATCCTACTTTCTATCTCCTTTATAGGTGTAGAAAGACAGAGTAGCTGTAGTAGGTAGTAGGGGGAAAAGATCCTCTCTAAAAGCTTTGCATTTTTTAGTAAACAAATCCTTGCTTTTAATAGTAGGTATTTAAGTACTAAGGTTGTCTTTTGTATATGCCATAGCTTTATAGATTTCCTTTAGTGAGTCTTTTTGTAGGAAAGTCTCCTAGTGATCCTGTTTAGCCCGTCTAATAGCTCTTAGATATCTATTTTTTGTACTTAGATACTCTCGTTCCCATTAGTAAAGTAAGCTATTATTTTCTTTTGCTGCTTCCTTCTTGTAGGCTCTATAGGCCCTGTTTAGATCTCTTTTTTAGCTACTTAAATCACTGGTCTACTAAGGTTTTGGCTTTGGTTTTTGGTTAACTAGTAGAGTTAACGTTTCTAGTGATTTCTAGATAGCCTTTGTAAGATCCTCTCCTAGTTAGTCTAGCTTAGCTTCTAGAGGGGTATGTTGTTCTAGAATAAGCTTTCTTGAGGTATAGTTAGAGGGGCGTGGTAGTTGGAGTAGCCGCTCTTCTAGGTCTAGAGCTTTAATCTCTTTTTCTAGCTCCTTGTAGAACGTATTCTAGTCTATTTGTCTAGTATTATATTGTTTTAGCTAGCTAGGCAGCTAGCTATAAGTGCTAATACTAAACAGTATAGCGTAGTGATTAGATCCTACTTTAGGTATAGTCTGCCAGTCCTAGATACTAGTTGCTATATTATTTGTTGCAAAAGTCAAATCTAGTACGCTTTCTTGTTGCATATGAGCTCTAAAGAATGTGCCTACTCCTAGAGTATTTAGTAGAGTAAGATTCTAGGTATCTATCCACTCTACTAGATCTTCTGCTTGTGTACTAGGGCTGCAATCTTTTAAGCTCTATCTGGGATGGTGGGTATTGAAATCTTCTAGAATAATTGAGTTTTCTTGTAGTGTTTCTTGTAGTAGCCGCCTTTGGATTGTTGATTTTTCTAGCCTCTCTTAGAGGCTCTTCTCGTTATAAATGTTGTAGATATAGAAGCTAGAAGGAGTAGCTAGTACTTTAATAGCTTGGAAGTCGTTGTCGTCGCTAATAAAAGGAATAGTTTCTACTTCTAGATCCTTTCTAATATAGAAAAGTACTCTAGGCCTAAGAGAGTTATCTCTTAGGGTAGGTATTATCTAAGTATAGTCCTGGTGGGCTACTGATCTAGTATTCTTGTAGGTAGATTCCTTTACTAACCAGGGCTCTTGTATAGCTAGTATCTTAGCGTCTACTTAAATAGCTAGATTTAGCGCGCTTTCGATAGCAGGGCTATTTCTATTAACATTTATTTGTAGAACTTTTAACATTCTAGTTTAACAAGGTAGTTGTTTTAGAGACTCTAGCTTATAGAATCTCGCAGTCTTAGCTATTAGCCGCGTGTGGTTTGCTGCAGTTCGCACACTTAAAGATAGTATGTACCCAGGCTTTGCCTTTGCTAGTACAAGACTTGCACTTGTAGAGACTAGTATAGTAGGCTTCGCTGCAGATCTAACAGGCTACTTTAGAGCATCTAGTCTCTAGGTGTCTAAAACCTTAACATTTTGAGCACTGTTTAGAGTTATTAATAACTCTAAGCTTTTCTGCTCTAAGACTTTGTCTAAGAATATAGAGCTTTCCTCTAATAGCTCTTTAGGCTTCTTCTTCAGTAGCAAAAGAAACGCAGGCAGATCCTACGTTTTAATTCTCTCTTCTAGCTTCAAGGGTAAGCCAGAAAGGTGTTCCTACTACTTTTAGCCCTTTGTTAAAAGTCTTAATCTCTTCTTTTAACACTTCTAGGCTATAGTTTGTTAGTAGCTTATAGATAACTACTTTAAACTAGGGCGTGATTAGCTGCGTAGTCTAAAACTGCGTAATATCTTGCTAGATATTTTAGTTGTCTAGGAGATATTTTGCTAAGAAGGCTAGCGTAGTAGTAACAATCTTATTGCCTTTCCCTAAGATCGTTACTAAGGCGACTACTAGAGCTTAGACCCCACCTTTAGTAGTAAAGGCTTTGTTAAAAGCGTTCCTCAGCTTTAGGGCGTTAAAAGCAGCTAGTGTTTTATTAACTAGTACTATCTAGCGATCTAATAGACTAGGGGTTTTTTCCTTTTAGGTAGGTTTCTAGTTTTTATGTTAGACATTAATCCAAGGTTGTTCTTTATTGCTAGCTGCTACTGTTGCGTACGACGTTTTAGCTAGTGTTGTAGCTTAAGTTAGTTAGGTAGAGTAGTTGTCGGCTGCGGGTGGCTTTCCTAGGCGTCTAACTTTCTCTCATAGTTCTTTTGAAACGTTAAACAGTGCGTGGATTTAGTCCCCTAGAATAGCGGAGTTTTTCTTATTTACTCTGCCGTTCTCTGTAAAATCTCTAAATATTTCTACTAGATCTAGTAGACTGGTCTGCTAGGTTGGATTGTTTTCAGCTAGATTAGCTGCTTGAATTACTAGGTTTCTAGCAATCTCAAGGGCCTCTTCTACTGTAGCCGCCTTTAGAGTTCTATTTTGGCTAGAGAAAGGATTTCTTAGCGTTAAGCTAATAAAAGGAGAAAAGTTGCTCCTAGTGCGTCCGTGAGTTCGCGTCTTCTCTAGTAAGAAGTTGGCTCGTCTTTTATTTAGTGGGAGGATTAAGATTTTAAAAGCGCTAGGAGTTTCTAGGTTTTGCGTAGGCGTAGCTAGCTAGGTAGATTCCATTTCTATCTTATTCTAGATCTGCCCTTCTAGCTCTCTAGTGTCCTGTCCTATATTGGCGTTGATAGTATCGCTATCTAGTGGCATTCTACTTAGTAATCCGCGTGGTCTGTGTGTTCTGTGATTAGAATGCGATGTGTCCAATAGGGTCTACTTTAAAGGCTTCTAGCAGCACAGCGCGTAGGTTGCACGTTTTGGCAGTAGTTGCAATCGATTTCTTAGGGTTTCTTTGTATATAATAGACTAAAATTACACCTATTCTGAAAAACTCGAAGTTGGTGTTGTCTATTTAGATGTAATCTATATAGAGAGGAAAGGAAAGGACTAAGACAAGCCTGCGAAGGTGATCTATTACTACCTATCCTCTTTCAAACAAAAGAAGGTATAGAAGCAACTATTACCTTTATTTAAGAAACAAAGGCTAGAACACAAGCCTGGTACAAGGGAAACACAGAAAACGAGGAGTAATACCTGTAACAGGTAGCCACACACCTCCCCCACCCTATCCTACCCCCTACCTACCAACCAATAGGCTACGAGCCTCACCTTCATCTAGTTAAAACCCCTCCTAAATATCGTAGCTAGAAACAACCTACTTAGATACTTGTAGGCCTAAAAACCCTACACGTCTTATATAGCCCTTCGGGCTGAAAAAGGACGTTAAACTAGAAT